AGGACGGGGCCCGTCAGTTACTCAGAGTTATAGTATTATATTTTAACAGTGCTAACTTGTCGAGTGATTCTTGCTCCCGTTTGTACGTGGTGTTATTGAAATGTATTGTTTGAGCTGAAAGCTGGTCGCTCGCCGGCCACGCTAATATATTTATTTGTAGGTATTTATATAATGAAATATAAAGCCTAGATTTATGGAGTCCCTAGATCACCTTATAAACTATATCAAACGAATATTTTCTGTTCTCCTTTTTAACCATTCAGCATTTGTTAGTCTCGTCCCCTTGCCCTCCTTACGGCCCGCAGGACCATGCCTGGTATATATTTTTTGATACTGTACACATGTGGTGTTTCTATGTGCAAAAAAAAGAAAAAAAAATCGTTATCTAAAGCTAAACAAGCTATTATAGAAATTGCTGCTATTAGAAATGTCTAAACTATAAGCTTCCAATTATTAATTGCTTGAATGTAAATATTAAATGGAGATGTTGAAAGTGCATTTGATGTTCTGCAGCTAGTGTAGATCGGATTGCAAAGCCCAGCTGCTGGGAGGTGGAGCGCGAGCTGCCAGCGGCGCTTCCTGGTCCGAGGGCTGTGTCATGGGGGAAGAAATGTATCATGCAATCGTTGCAAGGACTATAAACCTTTACAAAAACCACCGGGATTTGGAGTGCATTTGTTACGGCATACGGACGGTGCAGCAAGCGTCCCCGTGCGGGCAGGCTGGGGCTGGGGTGCCCCGGAGGAGGCGCTTGCAGGTTAAAATCCGCTCCGAGGTGCGACGTAGGAAGGCAGCTCTGGCTTTTCCCCCGAAGCGCGGACGAGAGCGTGCCCCCCCGCAGCGCCTGAGGGCGCCCCGTTGTCTCCTGGTGCCACCCAGGCGGGCAGCAAGGCCGGTGGGGGCCGGTGGTTCGGCGTGCCCCGCTCCCCGCGGTGCCGAGGCAAGTCTGTGCTTCTCCGGAGCAAAACGGGCTGCGCGAGGTCTGCGATGGGAAGGCTGGAAAGCTGCTGGGAACGCGGGCCGGGAAGGTGGCTGCTGGGGATGGGCGATCGCTAGTTCCCAGCCTGACGCCGCCACCCCAGCGGCGTTTAGACGAGGAGTTGAACTTCTCCAGAAAGGAAGATGGTCCAAATTCCACAAATACGCCCGCAGGCATCTCTCGACTGGATTAATAATTGCTGGAGTCCATGGAAAACGCAGTGCAGGGCTCTTTCTTTCCAAAACGGCTCACACAAAGGTGGCAACCTAGCAGCGTGCCTGTGGAGCCCGTCTGCACGTGGCTGAGACCAGGGTGCTCAGCCCCCGCTCCCCCCAGCACCCCCTATGAACGGTCCCAAGCGGAGGCGAGCGCTCGTACCGTAACTGCCCTCTGAATCTTGTGCTTGCCAAGCCGGCCCGGTTGCCAGCCTTTGGGCTTTCGCCTGGAGTTGATTTCTCTTTCGGAGACCTTAGCTGAAGTATTGGCGTCGATGGCCCGTTAACGTGTATGGACAAGAGCCTCGAGCTTCTGAGAAGCAGAATTAATTGGTCTGGGTGAGGTGGAGCCTGCAGTTGCACTAGAGCTACCTGAAGACGTGGGTGAGTTGCCCCTGCTGCCTGCGAGAGCCCGAGGCAGGGGTAGCACCCTGCGGCTCGGCCCCTGGCTCCTGCCGTGGCACGGCGTCTGTCCGTCCGGGCGCTGCTGTTCCCAAAGCAAAAATAAACCCCTCCGTCTCGTGCTGCCCGCTCCTGGGCCACAATGAAGTCTTCCCAGGCTTCGTTTTATTTAAATAAATGTAAAAGCTTGGCAGCTGTTCCTTTTTAAGTCCAAAGGATTATGTGGCACCTGCGGGAAGGTGGGGCAGCATCCAGCCGGGGGGGGTCATTGGCTGGGGCTGGTTTGCAGTGTGAACCCCTGGGTGAGCTGCGTCGGCCTAAGCGTTGCCTACAGCCCTTCTCCTGCCAGAGCCAGAGCGCTTTTCCGAGGCAGCTTGGGTTAAATGGGAGGAAAAGCGAGCGTTGAGTGTGTGGATGCCATTTTCTCAGCCAGGACAGCCTGGGAGGCTTGTATCCGAGTGGAACAATCTCGGCTGCGGGCACCGTTGTCGCAGACGTTGGGTTTGGTCCGGGGTAGCTCAGGTCTGCCACGCGGTGTGCTCCTGCAGCGGTGGGAACGGCTTCTGGGAGCTTCCGCCGGAAAGCTGGCTCCATCCCAGCTGTTTGGTTAAACTTCTCGGCCTGGACGAGGTCAGTACGGACAGCTTGGTTCATCTCTTGTTTCAGTCGATGCTCCAAGGTCAGTGGAAACTCGTGCCATGTGTTTAGCGCCTGTGATTCTCACCTGCCTGCATGGAGACCCCAAAATCTGATTGTATGTGCGCGGAGAGCTAGCAGAAAGAGGTGCGCTGTGATTAAAATCAGCATTTTGCCTGTTAGCTGTGCTGAATCTTAAGAGGGTTTTAATCAACTCTACGCGTCACCGGGGCCGTGCGAGTGACGGGCAGAGGCAGCGGCGGCCAAGGGTGCTGGAGCGCAGGTGCCGGGGGGACGCCCAGGGATGGTTTGGTGGGAAGCGTCTCCCTGCTGTCCCAGCCTTAGCTGGCAGAGCAGGCAATCAGAAATGATGCATTTCCCTTGATTAATTAAGCTAATGGTTATCTGAAAACAAAAATGGCATGGAAGAGGAGACGCATGCTCAGAATGCAAAACGTGATTTATGAAAAGGGAAGTGGTGCTCGACAGACAGCGGCACGAGCCAGTCCGGGAGCGGGGCTGGGCAGGCGGGCTCGCTCCGGGGTGCTGTCTGCCAAAGGAGAACTTTTCCCTTGGCCAGCCGAAGGTGATGAAACCTGTGGGCTGCCTGACGGGGTGGGAGGGGTCTTCTGAACGTGGGCTTGCAGGCTGCGGGCCAAAGCCCGGGCATGGGTGCCGCTGCCGTGAGCCGGGTCAGCGGCCTCCTCCCCTTGCTGGGGGGGTGTGAGGCTCTCGGCGATTAACAGCCCTGTGCAGGTTTACAGCGAGCTTAGCTCAGGAGTATTTTTAAAAATGGACTGCACGGCGTTGCCCGTTCTTAAGGCAGCCATGCTCCCCTGAGCGTGTGCTTTCGGGGCTTCCTTTCCCTCCTCCCACCTCCGGTAGAAGCACCTAAAACGTTGTCTCTGCTGGCAGTGGCTGCGGTTGGTTTCAGGCACCGTTTCCCGGAAACCACACAGCCAGATATTTCTTAGTTTAATTGATCATGTTTATCACAACTCCAGCAGCTTCCTGTGCAGTGAAAGGTGTGATGAGTAGTTACTGGTTTAAAGGACGCACCCTCCCCTCGCTTTGTGCCAATTGGCTGGGGAAGATTAAGTGTTTAGGCTAGGAATTACTTATTCATACCGCGCTCTTCCCATATTAAGTGCATCGAACCTAAATGCCTGTTACTGAGAAAATTAATGTGAAGTCCACTATGACTTCCAATGGTTATCAAAGTGATCCAGGACGAGATGGAGCGTCACCGCGCTCCATTAGGGAAGACGGGTGTGTGCTACACTTAATGTATTTCCCAGGAATGCGTTAACCTCTGCTTGGTTTGGATTTATTCCAGACAAACATTTGCTGATTTAAAAGGAGAATTTGTGTTCGTATTTTAGCTCTTCTGAAAGGGTCTGATGCATCCATCTATCCACAGCCGTGCTGAGAGGAGGGGCGGCAAATTTGTGCTGTAAAGCTGCTTTCAGGCTCTCCCCTCCCCAGCTGTGCTGGTACCAGTGTCCGTACCAGCACTGGGGTTTGAATCCAGCTGCCGGCCCTCCCTCGCTGAGCAGCGTCGCCAGCGATCGCCGTGGCCCCGTGCGGTTTCAGCAGGCGTTGGTGTGGTCCCTGCTCCATGGGAGGTGACGGAAACGCTGTCCCCAGGCGATGGCCACGGGGCAGCCCGATGGCGCTGTAGAAGAGGTTGCATCTCTGGGGTGAGGATGCTGTTAGGGAGAAGGATGGTAAATAACCACACGACACGGAGCTGATGTCTTTTAATCAGAATAAGAAACGGCCTTGTGGGACCAGGAGACTTCCAGGTCCAGGCTGGGAATGCAAGAGGAGCTCCTCCCTGGAGAAGGGCAGAAGGTGTAAGTGGCCATATGTGGTGGGAAGCGGAGGATTTCCCAGGCACTCGGTGCTTTCGCTCATACGCAGGTGGGGGCAGCTCCTCCAGGCAGTCATTGCCTACATTTTGTGGGGTTTTTCCTTTACTTTTCCCGTTCTTCTCTCATTTCGCTATGCAATGTCAGGAGCTGACAGTGTGACTTTGCTGAACATGGTGGCCTCAGCACCTCTCCCCCGTTGGAGAAGCCAGCAACAAGGTAAAGCATTCAT